GTGCGAAAAACACACGTATGAAAAAAGTACCGTAAATAACAGTACTTATTAGTGGTGTCGCAGGACCGACGCAACTGCACAAAGCCTTAACTGCTCACTTCAGAAAAACAAATCATCGCTGAACATCGAGTTATATCTACACGGTCTCGACACAGATTAAAGATACTGTAAGACTAATAATATTGTATATTTAATCTATGTTATTGATAACTGCAGTTATACATGTATACATGTATACACAATATCGATGTCGCTGAACAAATATTGAAAAAATAACATTATTATTTATATATTGTTCATTATTAATACAATTGAAATAATCTTTCCATGGCATCCGTGTTTGTAATACACACGTAAATACCCAGGCGCGGATCTATAAACGAAAAAAAAAGGGGGAGGGGCTAAAGTAAAGTGAGTTACTGCCATAATTCGTTGTGCAAGTCGATTTGCACGAAGTCTTTCTCACGTCTATTATTTTAAATATTTTAGATTCTACTTAATATCTAGGGGGGGACTTCAAGCACCATAGCCCCCCTTTGTATCCACATCTGCAAATACCCATTACATCCTTCAAATTTTTATTACCTACACTTGTTTTAAACTTTACTTATGGATTGTGTAAACATAAGATTAAAGGGAGAAGTATAAATATTTAAAAGTAAAAATTTGGACATTATTATATTCCTCTGAAAATAATTTGTTTATTGTTGTTATTATAATTAAGTTTGGTTCACACATTGATTTGAATTATTTTTTTTAATTTAATTAAAAATCAAAACTATTTTAGGTTATACTATGTAATAATTAATAGATTTATTTATAATGCATACGAGTATTTGTTGTATTGCGAAATTTCCTATATTAAATTAATTCTTATTAAAAATATATTGGCTAACATTAGAAACTAATTTAACCAATAGTTCATATGTACAAGGCCAGATTAAGCATCTATTGGGCCCCAGGACTGAAATTTTATAAGGGCTCTTTTGACAAAACGTGCTTTACAAATCCGCTTGCTACGCTCGCAAACCGATACATTTTTTTAACTATTTCACAAATTGTGAATTGCATTATAAAATTATTAAATTAATAGGTATATAAAATGTATATCTATAAAACTAGTAATTTTAGTGTAACAAAAAATGTGTATCGGCTTAAATTGTTTGGGTCCCTTCGAGAGAGGGCCCCGGGGCTACTGGCCCGGCTAAACCCTCTCCCCTTAATCCGGCCTTGCATATGTATGATTCGTAAAAACTTAAAAATTAAAATCATTCAAAACTAAGTTAAGTAAGCAATTAGCTATTAATTACAATATTAGTAGACCAAATAATATAACTTTACAAATATATATTACGTTAGTATTACAATTTTTTTTTTTTTGCTTATTTCGTTATTAATTTATTAGACGTCTGTCGAAAATAATCCACGTGTACGATAAAGGGTGGTCACGTGTGTAAGTGTGTGACTCAATCAATGTAGGACAATTTCGTTCCAATTAAGTCTCACCTTTATTTTCATTTATGTGAGTTACTTCTATACCTAAACATTGGGATGATCGACACATAAAACAACTTCTACTTAAAAGTTTTATATACCTATCACCCCGACGTAATAACTTCTACTAAACATATTTTTGAATTTATAATTATTATTGACATTAATTATCTTTTGAATATTCTTGAAAAAATATACATCATAGTCAGTTGTTTTTGAAGATAATAGTATAAAAGCTGTTCCTAGAAATTGGATAAAAGCAAATTATGTACAAAATATAAAGCGTAGAAACATTAGAAACCAAAAACATTATAAACAGTTATATGTAACATATGAGTAACGGTATGAATTTTTTTTCAACATTTTTACTGAAATATATTTTAAATATTATGTTAAAAGAAAGCTTTTTAAAAATTCGTATTTTAACAAGGAACCTCGAATCACATTGCCACACTAAAGTAACCCGACGGTGGTGAACAAGTTTATATAAATATTAATATATATAAATAGTATGTATGGTATGTATATGAATCAGAGGTGGTCTACTTCTTCCCAGGCTCAACGGTTTATAATCTAAGCTTAAGGATATTTTTTACAGAATTAATAGTAATTAATTGTATAATTTATGATTTTTGATATTTTTCAGTTATACATAAGTATATCGGGTTAGAATTAAAAATGTTTGGAAATACTGAATCGTACATAAATACTACTTATTATTTATGAAAATAATAAAAATGTTATTCACCACGTCGTGATACTAATACACTTTTCACACTTTTGCTACACTCTTACACATTACATATACTCAAAACTCAAATGACTAATATGTTTCACTTTACAATAATACCGTTTGTCAGCGAACCGGCAATTATTATATTTGGTATGTGTTCGATGTTTTCAAATCACATAACAATTTTTTTTTAAGTATACGTTATTGCGTATATCACCATTGCACGTTGTTTATTTAATGTTACAAGAGAAGAGCGGTGGATTATAGTTACCTACTCTTCTAGTACTTACTTCCGAATGAATCTCGGATAATTTTAAAGTTCATAAAAAGCAAAAGTTTTACTACGACCTATATAATCGCGATGATGTGGCAATTGACAATAAACCGTGAACACGAGTATGAATAAATATATAAAGGCTGGCATCGGTAGCTGCGATATGAGTTAGTCGTTAGAAAATTAAATTTGTGGAAAAAATATAAATATCCACCAACCGTTGTATCCATTATAATTTATATATTCGTCTGCCAAACGATGTAGATAAAAATGTTCATCCAATTCTAACATATAGAAAGTTTTTGTGTTCACTTACAGTGCCAAAAAGTTGACTAAGTCAAGTAGATTTATTTTTTCGAAACAAAATGATTTTTAATACGTGAATTTATACCATGCTCGCGACCAGAAACATACGTAAGCATGTTAATATATAACATTATCCATGTGAGGTACTGCAATTATTATTTTTACAATGACAGAATGATTTCTAAAAAGTCAACATTGGATATTATTTGTTTTATAAAGTTAGGTTATATGTATATATTTTGAGTGATCACCGTATGATTAATTTAAACCGTATCACCTATTATGTATCTCATATTTATCAGAGTAATTAATATCATGTGAACACACGATAGGCATTTTAATCCGTGCAATATGATTAATAAGAAATATATTTTGAAGCGCTATCGTGATGCAAATGAGTATGTCGAACACATTTTTTTAATAATTAATACACTGGAAGAATTCACAATTAGTTCATTATATTTTTTCTTCAATATGAATCGACCGATATTTTGTAGGCACTATCAGGGACGACGCGAGGAGGTGGACAATAGGGGCAGTTGCCCAGGGTCCCGTGCCTTAAATTATAATTAAAACCCCGCGGTTCTAATTTAACTGAACTTAAAATATTTTATTAATATAAATTATAAGACCCAACATTAATTTTGCCCAGAGCCTCGCAAACTTTAACGTCGTCACTGGGCACTATGCAGTTGTAATCGATCGTCATTCGACGGGAAGAAAAATACGATTCTATAAATGTTATGTAGTTTTTTGTGCTATTAAATTTTTAATTTTGTTACAGCATTGATAAATATAGTTTATTGGTATTTTAAATAATGATGTTTCTAACAATATTTGAACAGAAACCGATCGCTTAAATTACTCGTATGTGTGTAAAATCAAGTTAAACAAACTATAATACATTATATGTATAATATCATATAGCTATTAATTATTGTATTATTACTACATTATATTTTAGTATATTTTTTATTTTACTGTTTGTTCAGTTTCTCAAATGTTCTGTAAAGGTTTACCGCTAAATTAAATACTGACCAATCTAAAACGTAAAATCCGTACAACGTTGAATTACAATGAAAATAAAAAACCCTTTATATGTGTATAAAACTAAATAAAGAATATTCGAGAAAAAATAACAGACTACAAAACTAGTTCATTTCACTTGGTAATGAGTAAAACTAACGAAACCACGAGTTATTTATTTAATTACGGCATGAAGATCATTACTAAAAAGTATTTAAATAACTCCGGTTTATATGTTTTACATCTAATTACCGTGATTTGAAAATCGTGACGATAAAATAAAACGTTATGAATTAGTGTTCGTACACTTTTCAACACATTTTCTGCAATATTTTACGTAAACGGATCGCATCAATATATTATTATTATTTTTTCATTCGACCGCTGTACTGATAATACATTTTTGTCCATACGCGGTTTGCAAACGGTTACACTTGCACGGTATCGAATATTTTGTACCATCGTGGATTTGGTAAAATACCATACCCTACGTCATCTATGTAGGTCACTGCAGCGGTGTAGAGAATCGTACCATTTTTGTCATGACTGTTTTAAAAGGATTTTTTCCCCACCCAGCAATGACGTTTTAATAGGGTTTTTATTTTATTTTCGTATCATTATCCTTTACATTACTTATTAGCCATTATTTATTGCGTGACACTCGTGTCCCACGTCAGTTCGTGTATACATTCCACGCGGGCGCACCCGTACGCGTGTATATACCTATTGTATATATATATACGTATATAAATGCATGTGTGTACTATCTATATACACTACTGTATACATATACACCGACATAACGTATGTAATATATGTATATGCGACGTAGTACGTTCGCGCGACTGAATCGCCGATGGTCAACAATCGACTGCCCGCGTGCGATGCGCACCGACGTTATACTTATATACAGATTGAATAATTTATCGGCCGCGCGCGTATGATGTATACACGTGCACGCGCGCATAAGGGAGTCGACGGCGCACGCGAGAAACGCGTCTGGTGCGGCGGAAGGGTCGTGTCGCGTGGGCGGCGGCGGCGGTCGAGGGTCGTTTCGCGATACCGTGTCCTATACGCCGTACGTGCACACGCGGCCTTCGTCGCCGCGGTCGGTGCGTCATTTCGCCGCCACTGGTCGTCCGAGACCGTCGTCCGTCCGCGCGAGAGATGTCGCAACGGCCGTCACCGACGCCGCCGCGGCCGGACGACGAGTGCCGCCGCGATGGCCACGGGTCGCCGGCCGACCGGTCGTCCACCGGCGTGCAGCCCGCGAGACGGTCGAGTCGCGCATCGCCCGGACCCGACGAGCACGCCAGTGGCCGCGAAGACCTGCAGCAGCAGCAGCCGACAGTCGTCACTTGCCGAGCGGACGTCGACGTCGGACACTTGCCACGACCAGAGGTAATCACCGTACCACGGTTTCGGTTATCCGCGGACCGAAAAACGGGGTTGATAAATCGCTTCGGGCCCGTCTCGCGTTCCGCATAAGCATTCGTTTTGCGACGTACCGATTCGGCCGAATGCGTCTACCAATCACGTCTTCCTGCACAATTGGTACGTTTCCGAAACGAAAGCCAGTTACGTGCGGAGCGACGAGGAGGGTGAGAACAGCCCTACAAGACTCGAGGACTCGCAGAACCCTTTCGACGTGTGTGTGTGTGTCCTCCCACTCCCCTCAAATAATGTGCGTAAATGACTTGTACAGTATATCCGATTCACTAGTTGTGGATACGACATCCAAGAACTTTTTACCGAAGTTGGTTTCGTAGGAATCCTTGGATAATATTAACACACCTCCCGCGGAATACCATCCATCTTATCCACCCGATTTTCAAGGACCCCGTGTTCTACGCGCAAAATGTTATCTTTGAATTTTATAATATATTCATATATCATATATCATATACGATATACATATATATCCTATTATAAACTCTAGTGCGTCCATCCATTGGTTCTTAATATTTATCCTATATGGAAGTAACAAAAGTTATGATGATAAGAATAACAAATTCGTGTAATATGTTAATTCTCAGTTAGTTTTATTTTTAAAATTTCAACTGCATCAAACACTTTGTTAAAACTTTTTAATACAAAAAATAAAAAAAAAAGTTGCTTCATGAAAAAAATTTATTTTTAGTATAACTCAAGTTAGTTATTCGTTTCAAATGTCTAATAATTATTTGATAGAAAAATTAAAAAAAATTATTGTAATGAAGAAAATATTTCTAATGAACGGAAAAATAGCAAATCGAAACCAAAATAATCATAAATGTAAAAAATCATAAATATTTAAAACTGAAGTGTATTTTAATTTTAGGAGTTAAAGTGAAACCTATTTTTTTTCCATTTAAGATCGTATGAAATTGCCTACCATTTATCTTTTATATAACATATAGGTACTAAATATAGTATATATGTAAACTATAATATAATGAAATATTTTCACCTCTGCGGATAAATATCCGCAAGAAAAACATTTTAATTGAGGATCATTGTAACGTGTAATTTTTTTTTTTTGTCTTCTTCGACTTTGCATAATAACTTATAAATGTTTAATCATTTAAAGCACCGGAGCTCGTCAACCAAAATTAGACATGAGAAACTTAGACAAATCCACACTGCTGATTTTGTGTTGGCCTATAAAAGACGACGGAAATCTATGGTTAAAGAGGACGGCAGTAAACTAGACGATGAAACCGAAAGACAACGGTTTTACAATGAATTGCGAGCACAAGGGATACTGGTGAATGTCGACGATGATCCAACGGTCAGTATAATACATTGTATTTGCTGTAAGGTACTATTGAAGATACGTTTCGAAACCTACATGCAGTTTTGCAATATTTTCATATAGTTAATTTTACGTGTTTGTTATAAATGTTTTTATTCCGTCGATTTTTTTCACTGTATTTCATTTTATGCATTGATCCGTGGACATTTTATATTGAAAATTTACAGTAATCAGTAATTATAATATTATTTACAAATCAACACTGGATTTCTTTTTTTACGAAACTAGTATAAGTCTTCGTTTTTATTCCATATTGGCGGATATAGCTTGATTACAATTATTTTAATCCTTAACAGATATATTATCTTTTTCCTCCGGCACAAATGTATGACATTCAGGTAAACAAAAACGCTGATTTAGACCATATATTATTATAAGTCGGCAAGGCCGTAACTGGAAAAAAATTTCGGGGGGGGGGGGGGGGGGGGGGGGGGGGGGGGGGTCCGGACCCCTGGACCTGCTCCCAGTTACGGCCTTGTAAGTCGGTTGTGTCAAACGGATAAAGTATTCTAACTATTGCAATGGTATTGAAGTGTTCACTAGATGCGGGCCGAACGTCTTTTGCTTTGCTACAGATGTCCCAGCGACTCCTAAGATGCCGGTGCAAATGTCACACTACCAGTGAAAATAATGGCGATCTTAGTGAGGACGAACCAACCAATCCCAAAGACGTTAATCATCAACAGGTATCATTACCATATTCAGGGCCGGCGTGAGGGTAAGGCGTCTCGGGCGGTTGCCTAAGACGCCATTTTCAGGGGGGTGCCGAAATTGCTTTTTACAACTTTACACATATGTCAGTAATATTGTTTTTTTTTTTTTTTTTTTTTTTAATGTAAAATACCACCAATAATTTTGTATTGAAATATTGATAATAATTATAGTTATTTCGTTTAGCCTTATATTAAAATAATAAAAATATATTTTAAGTAAAATATTTACTATGGTATAGGGTAGAATATTTTTTCGTGTATGTTGTTATAATTCCCAAATATTTGTTATCGTTTAATCGAGATCGCGTCGAACTGTCATGACTCGCGACTAAAAAATTAGACGATAACAAATTGAGCACAATACTATGTATAATTTTTTCTTGTTTCTGTTCACGAACAACATTTTTTTCTGAGTATAATGATATTATGGGTTGTTGAATGAAAAAGGCACCAGTTGGCATTTTGGCCTCGGGCATCATTTAGCCTTACGCCGACCTTGACCATATTATATTATTTTTATAACATAACACGAAGATTACAAATGGAAAGGTTTTGAGTGGGCATTAAACCCTCGCGTGGTCTTCTAAATAAAACTGAACGTTTTTCATGTGGACGATTTAAATTAATAAAATACTTAAGACTACATTGAACATTAATATTAACACATAATCGTGCGGCTTACATTACATTAATACTTGGTAGTAAAATATCATTGATATATCTATACGGTTTAATATTTATATCAATCTATTATACTGTTTAATATTTGTGTATAAATTTTTTAGGACATAATATCTTATTATTTTATTATTAAACGTTGTCCTTAATGAAATTGCTAATATTTCTCTGGACTATAATTTGATAAACTGTATTTTTAATTAATAATTGAGGTTGAGTTTTTTTTTTTTTTAATCGTTTAATATTAATATAATATAATATAATATGGATTCAAATAGATCATTGTTAACTACATAGAGTTATTCAAACTTCGTTTTGGGTGTATTAAAAACTGAATCATACAATTTAAATGACCTGATGTATTACAATAAAACATTGTATAATAAAACGTTTATAATATTAAGATAAATATTTTTTTTTAATTTATAAATATTTAGTTATTCGAATAATAATATAAAAAAAAAAAAAACTAACAACAAGTTGAGAAATATAAAATTAACTAAATATTTTAAGTAAACGTGGGATTGTCCAATCCCGGTTTAATATTCGAAATGGAATAATACAATGCTTAATATTTGACAATAATTTCGGAAATATAAGTTCCAAAAATTTGTAAAAAATCTTCGTTTTAATAAAACCAAATGGTTTTAATAGCATTCAAATGAAAATTTAAATCTCGAAAAATTAACATCAGCCCAACGGACTCAGATCGTGTGGCAAATCATACTCCGAATAGGATTCGATAACACGCGAGACGCACGCGTAATAAGCCTTGAAAAGCTTCTTGAGGATGGTATATTTACTGCCGCGTATCCAGTGCACGATGGCAATATTAAGCTCGGCGAGGAGGAAGATCCGAACAACATGAACGATAGACGGGTGAGTGAATTTAGTCGTGAATAATTTAATTTGAATATTGTTTTTTCAAGAAGTATAGGTATCGTGGTTAGTGAAAGTATACGCACGTTGTAGATAAGTAAATATAGAAAAAAATGTTTTTTACATTTTTAATTTTTTACTCTGGAACTTCTCGGAAAAAAATTATGAAAGAGATACTGCTATAATAAATCCCGTTAGTAGGATTAATAACACACGTTGCTAACATAGCGATTAAAAATGATCTTATTTAGCTATATAAGTGCTAAAGAGTCAATCTTACAATAACTGCGAAAAATTCCTCATTGCATCTCACATCAAAATAATTATATAGTCTTACGAGGTTTTATTTTCTTATATAATTATAACAACTGAATTAATTTAAATTATTGTAATACAGTATGCTACACAACCAACGAAATAGATGATTCTGATTGTGACTACTATATCTATAATAGATAACAATAAACTATTAAATATTGTAAATTTATAAATCCCTGTCACAAAAAACTAGTTTTAATTGAATTGGTTCGCGAAGGTATGGATTTTAATTGACTTTTACTCAGTCTGCAACGTCCTTTGTATGTCAGGAATATGACACATATTTTTAACAAAATTTACATCAAAATATATTCAATTTTTCAATTATTGAAATGTTATTAATTAATCAAATTTCTGGTTGAGATTTTTATTTCTGATATTGAGTGTAAAATAATTTGTAACCTTAATAATACATAACCGTAAAAATATGTTATAACCCCGTTTATCAGAAATATATATATGTATAATATATATTATATGTTAAACATAAAAATAGTTATATACTGTATTATAGGCTACATCTCGTTTGCACACATTTACCTTTTTCACAATTGGTCTGTGCAAAAAAACACAACTTAGTTGCACTCACATATTTTTCGCTACCTTTGACGAAAATTTTAATACGAAAATTAATACTTAATAAAGAAAACTTGTTTGCACCACAGACATGTATATAATTTATATTATGTCTATTATTTGCACACACAGATATTCGGTAGGTACTTGGTATTTAAGTACCATAAGCTTGCGCTCAGGGTATTCAGGGTAGGACTACTCTGCGAAGATATATTAGTATAGTATATTACAGTATTTAATACGTATAATTTTTTATTAAATATGTTATGCGACAATCAAACTATATAAAGTAGATATAGTATAAAGATAATGATTTATAGATAAAGTAGATATTTAGAAAAAGTGAAATATTTTACTGTTTTGGATTTCATTTAAAACATGATTTTATTGTTAATTTTTTATAATCTGGTCATGGTTTTAATGATGACGGGTTACAAAGCTATCTGGTTTTTTTATTGGACAAAATAACCAAAATCCAATCTAATTTTTGCCATGTGCTTATTAGATTTAATTTGAATTGCATAATAATATCTATTGCATTCTCTGCGTAATATTTTCTGAAAATAATATAAATCCATACAATGTTTTTCGTCTATTAAATTTTTTTATTTTTTTATTTTATATACATATATATTTTTCATTGTTCATAATAATTTTGATCGTCCCGATTTATTCCTGACTGTTTTCAACACTCGTTTTTTAAATTACCGTTATGATACATCATCGTAACAACATATCGTTTAACAATTTTTTTTTCAATTCTTTGATTGTTTAATTAATACAAAAAAACATTACTCAAGTATCATAAGTAGAAATTTTAATTAAATCGCTTATTGGGATTGAATTTGGAAAATGGATATTAATAGAATTTAGTTTTTAAGCTTTACAGTTATTTAATATAATTATTAAATTAATAAATCTACCCCTAATCGACAGTAATGACAATTTATGGGTAGAGGACATCAAGAAAATGTTATGTCAGGCCGTAGAATATCTATATACGTCTCTGAATGTAGTTTCTTCACTTTAAATAATATTTTACAACTTTCACTTTACGACTTTGCTAGAAAAATCTATATGACAAATGAGTTAATAACTCAAGCAAGTACATTTTATTTATCCATATTATTTCCTAACTTAATAAGTTAGTTTTTATTTAAAAAAACATCCTCTAATGATTACATATACTTTTAAAGGGTTATTATGAAACTTATCTTTGAATAATTAACTCACAAAATTATTATGTTCAAGGTTTTAGTAAAATTCCAAAACTGGGCCAGCTATCATTATATTATTAGTTATAACTATATTAAGTTATTAATTATATAATAAATTGTTGATAAAATCAGATTCTGTACGAAGAATGGGCAAGACCTGGATTGATCATTCCCCGTCAATTGAAATCGGACGAAAGGATTACTGCTTTGATCCGGAAATACTACGGCATACCTGTAGCCGTTTACTTTTCTTGGCTTCGGTACTACACCGTGTGGCTAGTGGGTCCTGCCATAGTTGGTCTGGTGTGGTTCCTGTACGGGTTGATAACGACGCGCAGCGATGTACCAACGTAAGGAACATTTAAAGAACAATGTCATAGAAAAAACATTATAATATTGTTACCTATTCTTTTGACATGTATATCTAGCCAGGACATTTGTGATCCGAAATCACCAGTGGCCGAATGGATTTTATGCCCGACCAGACAGTGTGAAGCTGGTTTTTGTGGCTTCACTCGAGTACTTGACACTTGTGGCCTGTACAGGTGGACGTCTGCAGCGACTTTCGATCGACCTGGTGCCGTCGCATTCGCAGTTTTCATGTCATTTTGGGGTGAGTCGAACGTATGAAAAATTAAGTAAACAAAATACCCGAGACATACAGTCGCCACGAGAGCAACATTTTTATGAAATTCAACGCGACACTATAATATACATTAATTATATTTTATTAAATTTTTTAAGGCTAACATCTAATTATATTTTCTCTAAAAATGCTCTCTAACATACTTGAATTTATAAGATTCGTTGTCAATCGTCGGGCACCTTTGAATTAAAGTGTTAAAACAATCCTCTCCGCTCCGTTCCTTTAACATTACATCATTTTCATTCTGGAAACGATTTTCAAGCACTTTGGTGTTCTTCGTCCTCTACCCGTTCTCCTAAACGTTATAAAACTTGAACACGTTTTATCTGTTATTGTAGCCGCGGCGTTCCAGCAACTGTGGACCGCCCACGCTTGGCAGCTGGACGATCAGCGCGATGACAAAACAGGAAGCGACGACGGCGCCCCGGACGTGTGCTGCCGCGTCGGTTGCGCCGGCCGGACCGGAAGTCGAGTACCGGCCGCCGAGGGACAACAGCCGCCGCCACCGCCGCAAGCCGAGCAACAACGGTTCTTGGTCAGCCGAGCCGCAGTGGCCGCGGCCAACAACGCAGTCCGACGGTGGTATGCAGTCAAACTGGTGCCGGCCACGTTCCGGGTCATTGTGTTTATCGCCACGCTAACAGCCGTGGCCGCGGTGCCCGTACTGATCGTCGTGTACCGCGGCCGGGCCATCGGTTGGCTTATGATGGCCGTGTTCCACCAGGAGGAAGCGACCGCGCACCGCGAGAACGCCGCCGCGGCCGTGCACCACCGGCACCATAGTTTCTTTCTACTAAACTACGCCAACAGCGGAGAGCTGAGCAACTGGAAGACCGCGGTGGCCGCCACGTGCGCCGCGTTTGTGCAGCTTACCGCCATCGTGGCCGTGCACCGGGGCTACAGCGCGGTGGCCAAATGGCTGACCAAGTACTCGTACCGATCGGTGTACGACCCGGGATTCCAGAGCCGTTACACCGCATACATGTCTTGCTTCGATTCCGTCAACTACTATTCCAGTTTGGTTTACATCGCATTTTTCAAGGTGCGGATACGTTCATTTTGTAGTGTTGTAGTTCGTTATTGTTTTTAACTTAACCGTTTTTCGATCCGTTTTGCGGCTTGATATAATGCTCCGAGACATTATTTCATCCCATAGGAAGTCTTGGGAACTAATAATGTCCAGTATGTGTTAAAAATGTAGGAAATTATTTAGAATTGTCAGTGAGATTAAGTTGGTAAAATATTCTGACGGATATACTGATATTTACTTTACGTTTGTAAAATAATTAAAAATTAAGAAATTAATGCTCTTAACAGTAGTAGTTTACTTAATTACATTGATGTACCTTCACAATTCTACAGATACTAAATACTAATACATAATAAATGGTTCGATTGATTTTAAAATTACTTATTATTTCTGCCTTACTTAAATTATCGACCACTAAATCACAATCTAAGTCTAACCTAATTTACGTGAGCTGAGTTATTCACATGATTTTATTATTATTCATTCCTTAAAAATAATAGTTATAAAGTGTCACAAATGTTAATTTATTTATGACATTATCGTATTTTTAAGCATATCTAATTATCTATTTTAGGAATTTTAAATTGTAGATAGTCAATTACACTACATAAGAAAGAAAAAAATTGTAACCACGATTTTTTGGTACGTAGCAAACGCCTCCATCAAGTGTAACGTGATTATTCCCTATTCGTTAAACGATCTCGAATGTCCACCGATAGAGTTTTATAGTGAAACCCCTATAATATAATTGACTAAATTATTTCTACACTAAATACTCTCAAGTTTTCTGACTAAAATTGATATATGAATATCGGAAATGCGTTCGAAATAGACCTTTGCGTATAATTAATTACTCAACAGTAAGTCTTGTTAGGTCTTAGAATAATATTAAATTATAAGTCCGGAAAAATAACCGTCGAACTGCTAAATCGCTTAGTTGAATGCAACAGGTTAACTTTTAATAATATAACAGACATCATTTATTCGTTTATTTTTCTGAATTTACGACTGTTTTTGGTTAAATGTATGGAAAATTATTTCGTTTTACATTCAGATGTGTTAAAATCAAATTTTTTTGCTTATAGATTTGTATGCATACAACCACGTAAAAACATGACATATACAACTTTATTACTTAGATTTTTATTCTTACCAGTAAGGAATTTATATTGCACACCACTTTAAAGTGGTGCTAAATAGTAAATTGTTTCCACTACTCAAATTGAGTGAATAATTTTTTGAAAAATCCTTGGCATATATTTCGATGCGGGTATGGGTATTTAATACTTAAATATTATATTTCAGCTACGGTTAAATAAAAGCTTATAAAAAATGAATTTTGAAGTGCAAACAAAATTCGATGACATTGAATAAAATATTTATAATCAACATGAACAAAACAAAAACTCTGAACTATAAAATAGGTGGTTAACAAAGTATGGAATAAAAATGTACGTTTATTATAGACCATAGTGTAATTTAGTGAATTTAGCTTTAGTGAATTAGGGGAGACTCAAATATTTAAAACGAGTTAAACACTTTTCCTGTGACAGGAAGAAATATTATTTTGTATTTCTGTGTAACATATTTTCTTACCTCGTTTTGACGTAGTTGATTTGTACGAAAAATAGTAGAATTTTAAGGAAATAAATATTACTTGATGTTTTTCTTACGTTTTTGGTAAATACTTGATGGAGATACATAACACTGTTTATGAAGATTAGCCGAGAAATGGTGTGTAAAACGTTTCTCTTGCCTTTTAGGTCACTAATTGTTAATGTTATTGTGCGTTTCCATCATTATGTTTTTATTAATTAGATATAATACAATGATACCTTATGTTATATTTTTATATACTTATTATTCTTAAAATTATATAATATTGTAATGTACAAAGTAATTTAATTATTAATATGTGTTCGTTAACACATTTATTATTGATTAGTCTTTTTATTTTATTAGTTTTTATTAGTTTTAATGGTGACTAACATGCGTTATGTGTTTACGAACATCTATTATTACAATAGTGTGATGGCTTTTTTAGTTATAATTAATATTAGATTATAGCCCAATTAACATGGCTCTGTTGTAAATGTGATATAGGTATTATGTATATTAATTAATTATTGTGTACAAATACCCAATATCATTATATTTTTACATATAACCGTGAAAGTTCTAAGACGTAGATTAATAACAACAAAATAATTAATTAAAATTTATATTTACCGATTGAGACCTATACACTTTTTTTTTAACAATTAAATATTACGATGACGCAGTACCTCTTATTTCTTTTTTTTCTTTTTTTCTACCGCCATTTTAAAATATACTCGAAAAATAGATACATTAAAATATTATTGATTTTAAGGAGGTTCGAAATTTCTTGAATTATGTTAAACATCTGGCAGGGCTTTGCGTATTTTTGTAAGACTAGGAGAAAATATTGATAAGTATTAAATTCCTGTATACACACAACTTTATAATATGCCCCTCAAACTAATAGCATTATACGAAGATCGTTTATAATGAAATAGATATTACACATATTAGTATACAACCAGCTCGGTTTCACTAGGTAAGTAAGTATTTTTCTTGTCTGTAATTGTTCCCATGACTTCACATCGTTTGTTTTCCACGCTACGTCCTATCGATCGGTTCTCGTAATAAAAATAACAACAATATGTAGGTATGATGCAGAACTAGGTGTTAAGTTCCACAGTTGCATATTTTCATATTTTTTGATGTTTTTTAACACAACTTTTGAACTACCAACAACGATTCATACGGCGTCCATGCGTACAAATCTGCACTAACCCATCGACCCGTAAAGCGAGTACACATGGACACCAATAAGATTAACTGATGAGCTTAACGCCCTTAAAAGCCCTCCCCCTCCCCAAACAAAGATTATTTATTTTAAAGATAAGCGGTTAAGCTGTACGGTTTAATAAGTTCAGCTGTACACATCGTGCTTTCCCACCGCGTGCAAAATGTCAAAAACCATTTGCGAACGTGCACGAACGTATACGTACTTATGCGTTACATCGATAACGGTTTTACGTACGCGTCACGTGCGATGCAACGGGACGGTATGAATTAACCGCTGTCACACTTTCCTCATCAGGGCCGGTTCGTGACCGGAGGCCGAGGACCACGCACCACGGACACCCCGTCGAGGCTGTCAAACGTATGGCCGGTCACCATGTTCCGAACACTAGTGCTGCACGTCAGGGAGGACGTGTGCGACCCGGCGGCCGCGGGCACGGGGTGCGTGCCTGAGCTGTGCACGCAGCTGGCCATCATAATGGTGGGCAAACAGTTGGTGGACAACGCGATCGAGCTGACGATGCCGTTAGTCACGTGACTGTACCCGTTACGAGCCGACGGGCCAGGCGGACTAAGAAATGTCAGTTTTTCCCGACTCGTGTATGTTTGTGTGTGTGCAGGCTCGCGTTGAACGTGTGGCGCCGATGGCGGGCCAAGGAGAGCCGCCGCCGGAAGAAACTGCACGGCAAGCTGCCGGATACCATCGCCGAGACGCTCAAGCACCCGAAACAGTGGCAACTTGACTATCAGCTCGAAGACACCGGGCCGCTGGGCCTGTACCAGGAATACTCGGAGATGGGTACATACATCATACAAGTGCACGCGCTCTCTGCACTTTCCGTCGTCGTCGTCATTAAGTAATTTTTCAAGTGCACCAATCCCGTCCACCGACACCAATCGCCAATGTCCCTGCCGTATCGTCGATCATTCTATGAATAAGTCAACGTGAATTCTTTAGCTTCAATCGATCACGATAAATACAGATTTTAAAAATAACCCATTGTCTAGCGAAGCGAGGTTTTACGCTTCCTATGACAGCATTGCCGTAAATGGCATAAGGGTAATGCTCACCTAAACATTTTTGACCGTATACGTTGTCGATTGGCTCGATTCGGCCGCAGTGTTATTGAAGCTTATACTTTAATAGTTGAATAATCGCAAATATTCAAAGTAACGAAATATCGATAAAATATATATCAAATCTTATTTATACTGCATTTTGATGCTTGCCTAGAAATAAAACAAAGCATATATATATATACCGAGTAATATTTCTCCGCCTCTAGGCATAGAATAAGATCCGCCACTGATTAGTGATAAACCTATAGAAAATAAATTATTAATTTGCTCTTTATCGTTAAAGTTATGTGAAAATACGAATAGAAATTAGTGCAATATCGAAACGAAGAACGAGAGCCAGGTAGGCTCAGTAAATAATCTGTCACTAAATCATACTACACTTATCATAATACTTATCATTTTTTTTCTTTTATTCCTCAAAACATAATTATTATAAGCACTCAACAATGTTGGCACCTAAGATTACAAACGAATATCAAATGTTCGGTTCACGTATAAATGTAGTTATAGATATTTAGATTGCATGCCATCATCGTTTTGAAAAGTATCCGACTGTAATTCTTACACGATCAATATAATCACAGTAACAGAAATAATTTCGCTTTCACATCGCTAATAATAATGACTGCACACTGACGGTCGACACTTGTAGTGCAGTCCAGAGGTGTCAATTGGGGTAGTGAACAAAGTGTTCACTCGCACTCAGGGACGCCATTTCAGTTTTTTTTTAAGGGTGTGCAAGCAGTTAAAGAGGCCAATTTTTCTCCACCGCCAGGCCAACATTTATGATTAGCAGTGATTGATTGTGACGATGGATACATTGATAGTGACGCCTTAGCCAATAGCCAATAATTGAAGATAAAAAAAATTTAGAGTACACGAGTGCACACTCTGGTCCCCCCCCCCAAATATCGCCCCTATTCGCACTCCCTCTCAATCCGATTACTCGTCTGCCAAATTTTTGTTAAACCGACACTTTGAACTTTTCTAAATCGGGTTTCATTTGGATTGTTCACCGACGACCGTGGAAGAAAAGCTTCCGTATGATGTTCGCGCACCCTGAAAAAACCGTTTGAACGATGCCGTTAAGCTGCACCGCACGCTAGGCAGCACGTGTAGAAACGTTTAAATTATTTTTTTACGATTAACATGTTGCCGGGAATTATTATGTGTCGTGTGCTTCAGTCATCCAATACGGGTTCGTGGTCATGTTCACCACCGCGTTCCCGCTGGCCCCGCTGTGCGCCCTGCTCAACAACGTTTTGGAACAACGGTTGGACGCGTACAAAATGGTGGCGGCCACACGGCGTCCCGTGCCCGCGTACTACTGCACCGACACGGGCACGGACAATGCCCGGCCACGAGTCCCGGCATGCTGCGACAACTGTATCAAGCTGGGCACGTGGATACGAGTGCTGAAAGTGTTGTCCGTCGTCTCTGTTCTGTACAACGTGAGTACCGTGTTTTCGTTTATGTTAATTAACATCATCCGAGTTGTTTGACTCGATTTCGGTGTTCAATTACTCGAATGTTTGATAATCGTAAGAAAACTTTTCCGTGTAAACGAATCGATAACAATTATTATTGTACGAGCATCGTTCCTGTATTATATTGTAATATAAATTTAACTCCATCTTCAGAAAAGTTTATTCGATAACCATTCAAAGGTTATGCAGTTGAAATAAGTTAATCGATTATTCAGTCATACCATCACTGTAGGTCATAGAGGTATAAAATAAATTCAACAATTTAATAAATTGTTACTATCTTTTTTTGCTACTTTTTTTTTTTTTTTTTACTGAAATTTATTAAATATAATATTATTTTGTTGTTACAAAAAAGTAAAATAATTAATTTTACTAAAAATTAAAAATAATTATAACTTACCTATTAAAAACAAATTCTTAAATCCGGATAATCAGGATACTTCGGGAAATATGGATAAAAATTAGATTTAAATCGGTACCATTCATTTCCACCTGCAAACCGTAAGGCTTAGTTACGAGTAAAAATATTCATCTTTCAGTGCGTTCAATAGAAGTTCAATAAATTTTCGCACTTTTGGTCCATCGTGTATACACTGTTCTTAAAACAGATTTTCGTTACACTTATATTCGACCGAAAATTCTTTCTATATCTCGTTGTACTTACGCTGTGAAATACCAAAATTGCAATTTAAGTGATAAAATTATGTTTCCATCTTTATAGAATTAAGTTTAATCGAGTGTTTTATTTCTCCTTTCTATATCATCTTAGTTGTACGAATTCGTTTCACTTCGAGAACTATAATAATACCCAACGAAAAACTATACTATTCTACAAAAAAAATAAATAATCCTTTACTGTGACCTGCGGATTCGCTAATTATTTTTCCATTTTTTTCCCCCCGTAAGGCGTTTATGATCGCGTTCACCAGCGACCTGCTACCACGGTACGTTTACTCTCAAATCTCGGCGGAAAAAATGTCTCCGTTGGACGGCTACGTCGCTTGGTCATTATCTTCGAGTACGTTGACCGTTTTAAACATCATACTTGCTTTGAATAACACCATTGATTGTTAATGCATTCGTTTATGTCCAGAAAGAAACGTAAGCGAATATTATTACGGGCAACCAGAAGACATGGTCAATGCACCAGAAGTATGCCGATACAGAGGATACGGAGCTGATGCTGAATCAGAGCATAATGACTACAGAAAATGGCAAGTGTTAGCGGCTCGTCTAACTTTTGTCATCGTGTTCGAGGTATACCTACACCAAGCATTAAAAGTCCCAATACAACTATTAAGCCTGTATGGAAAAATGTATATCGTGTGTACTACACAATAATCAACAGTATCTATAATAACCCGACGCCCGTCAAAAGAAGTATACGATGGATTCGCATAATTCTTAATTAATTCTTAACATTCCTCGAACGATGTTTAACACAATTGAAACTTTAATCATATGAATTAAAATGAATAAAATAATGAATTAGAGATACGTTCTATCTATAAACTTTTTGTCGATTTCAATCGTCTATCTGGTAAATGTAATACGAAACGGTAGTGTATTCATCATTGAGGAGTATTGGAAATTGATTCACGTGCGCCAACCGCGTCCGTTAAAAAATTTTGGAATTTTTCTATTTTAAATATCAGCACGCGATTAGCATGAATTCGCACGGTATTACATTAACCGGAAGTGAGAAATCCTTTTGGCACGGATGTCGAGATGTTGCACCAGCTGTGGCCAACTAAAATTTTCAAGAATTTCGAAAAAACTTACACCAGCATTTACCTCTTGTGCCCACCACTGGTCCTGTCCCTGTGACCATGTAGGTACATAAGTATATTCTTTCGTATTTTTCCCACCTTAGCACTGCGTAATAGGAGCCATCACGGGCCTGGCATATTTTATTCGAAAAATGGTCGCCAAGTACAAAAAGTTGTCGACGACGCGGGACAACGAACCGTCCGTAGCCGCCCGTGCGAACGGTACAGCGACAGTGATCGACGGCGAACAAACCGTGGTCGACGGCACAGAACGAACGCAGTCAAACGAACGTGGCAACGATCTGACGTCGTCATCGTCATCTGTAGTGATAGTCGACATGGAAGACGACGACACGAATGACGCAGACGTTAGTGAAGACATTCTGGAGAAGTCAGAGAACGCGGCGGCGGCGATGCGTTGAGCTCGGTCGATCGGTTCCACTACGCGCTACTAATACAGTAAATACTATTAAGTTTTAGTCATATGTTTTTCCCCCTTTTTTTTCCTATTAAGATATTTCAGCGTCTATCACGTCCCGCCAGTTTCTCATTAAGACTCGCGATCACGTGCAGTGGTGACACAAATGAATACCTATTCCACGAAGCGATCACTTCGTGTAAAAATCGACATGGCTACTCTTTACATATTTATACATATGACCCCATATTATATATTTTGTAATCAATTATAAACGCCAAAATATGTATCCTACCAATGAAACCATTCCATTTTTACAGATATTACGGTTAAAAATCAAAACTTGTGGGCGGATGCGGGTTTTCATTTTTTTAAAAAAGGATGACTTCGTGGAGAAAAAATATTCATGTCGCTACTGGTATAAATAAAATGATAAATAATACGTTTTAGGTGTGATGGGCATGGCGCTCTCCGGATCGTTCTAAACTCCTGTGCTGGTGATTTCCCCGAGAAGTGCAGCTTGACCTGGGCAAACCTGTCGGCGAACGATCAACCCGCACAATACCACGCTGCCGTGGCTGTAGTCACATGTTTTTATTCGTTTTTTTCATTTTCAATCATTTTCCGTTCTGTAGATGACAAATTCGTAATATATGTACATTAGTACAGCGTTTCCCAACTGGTGTTCCGCGGAACCTAAGGGTTCCGTGAGCCGGTGCCAAGGGTTCCGTGAGAAATTTGGGAAAATATAAAAATTATTTTTAGTTTCCTTATGCTATGATAAAATATCTTATATTGTATATATTATTTGTTATAAACTTATAAAACCGGATTTACACGCAACAATAAATGCTAGCAATTTATCGTAACGATTGAATAGTTTCGATTTATCGTTGCGTATAAATAGGACCTACTATAGGTATTCATTTATCTTATCTGTAGTCATTAACGAGTTGTCGTTCAATGGGTTTCGCCACTACAAAATATTTATTTGTAGTTGTCAGTCTTCATTCTGCTTTGACGAAGTGAGAAACCGTTTTTTTTTTTCTAACAGTGAATTTTAGTGTTCAATTATTACTATCACGAATAACTCTTTAATTTTCTGGTATAATATAATATATAATATAATGGACAATTGGCTCAAAACGGGACGATTATTATCATTAGAGAAGACCGGTTTAACATCTACAAGTAATAGCAGTACTTCGTCTATTCCATCGGAAAACTCGACTTCCCACTGTAAAGCAGCTCCTCCCCAAAAACTAACTGTCGAAAATGAAGCATCTCCAAGTAAGGAATACACTCAAATTAATTTTTCAAAAGGTAAAAAAAGACGATATGATGAAGAATATTTATCGTTTAGATTTATTCCCATTGGAATAGACACATTTCCCGATGTGAGGTGCATAGTTTGTGAAAAAATTTTCAATAATAGTTCTTTGGTTCCTGCGAAGCTTAGGCGACATTTGGAATCTAATCATCCAAATCTAAAAGGGAAAGATCTGGAATTTTTTAGAATGAAGAAAGATATTTCAGATGAAAGTACGAGTTCTCTCGATTTCAACGATTTCTGATCGAGTTCATAAAATTTCTGACCACATTGAAGATGAATTTGTCTTCAGATTAATTAACTGTAACCAATTTTCTTTACAAATGGACGAAAGCACCGATGTTTCTGGGTTGTCCATACTACTTTTTTTTACTCATACTCATAAGAAAACCACTCAAGAAGAGTTGCTTATTTGTGAAAGTTTAAAAACGCGTACCACAGGAGAGGAAATTTTCGATGTTTTAAATAAGTACTTAGTGAAAAAAAAAATATCATGGCAAAAATGTGTGGACGTATGCACGGATGGTGCTGCTACAATTGTTGGGAAAATAAAAGGTGTAATAACCAGAATTAAAGAGGTAGCTCCAAAATGTAGTAACAGCCACTGTGTTTTATATCGCCATGCATTAGCAACCAAGAAATTTTCACCATATCTTAAATCAGCACTAGACGTAGGCTTTCAGTGTGTGAAATTTTTAAAATCACGCCCTTTAAAAACAAAGTTGTTCAAGAAGCTCTGTGAGGAAATGGGAAGTGACCATCAGAATCTTCTTTTACATACAGAAATCAGGTGGTTGTCCAGAGGCAAAGTTTTAACAAGACTTTTTGAATTGCGAAATGAGGTAAACATTTTTCTGAAGGAGCATACGAAAACAAATCTTTGAGTGGTTTTATGATGAGAATTGGCTCATAAAGTTAGCCTACCTCTCTGATATTTTCAACAAGTTAAACGAAACAAACTTGGGTTTACAAGGAATAGAAACTTCGATCTTTCAAGCCAATGACAAGATTAAAGCTCTCATTGGCAAGTTGGATTTTTGGGTCAAATATGTACAAGATAATGATTTTTCATGTTTCTCCAACTTGAATAAATTCTTATATGAAAATGAGAATGACAACGATAAATTCAGAAGAAATAAAAGACCATTTAATCAATTTAAAATCCGGATTACTTTCCTACTTTCCAAGAATAAACGAAGATTCTGATAATTTGTGGGTACAAAATCCATTTTTAATTCAGAAAAAGCCAAAAGAACTATCATCCATTGAATACGAAAGTTTACTTGAAGTAAAATCTTCATCTGAATTGAAAATCAAGTTCGAGTCACTTAAAATTGAGGAGTTCTGGATCGCCATGGAAAGTGATTACGAACAATTGTCCATAAAGGCTATCACCGTTTTATTGCCATTTGCAACTTCCTACTTGTGTGAAACTGGCTCTTCAGCGTATACAAAAACCAAGAATAAGTTTCTAAATCAACTGAACGCGGCTCCGGACTTACGAATCCAACTTTCAGGAATAACTCCAGATTTAAAAACAATTATGAAGAAAACTATGGAAAGATTCCAATCTTCTCATTAAATCTATTTTAGAGTAATAAGAGACAAATATTAAATTTTAAGCTTTGATATGATCATTTATATTTTATAATACTGTAATAGTTATAAGCAAAATAAAATGTTAAAACCGTCTAAACTATGTTTTTCTTTTAATTTTATTAATGACACTTTTATGCCGGAAGTGTCCAAAAACCCACTCATTTCAGTGTACAAAACATATGTCTGCATTACTATTATAGAAAAAATATGGGGGTTTCTCAAAATTTTCAAGCTCCTGCAAGGGTTCCGCAAGTAAAAGAAGTTGGGAAACGCTGCATTAGTAAACAACTGTGCGTTTGGTGAACAACTATGTAACATTACAAATATTACACATGCAAAAGAAATTTTAAACAAAGTCGATTATTTAAAAAAAAACAGCTGGACAGAGTCATTTGTATGATCGGTATTTTCACATTTCCTATTAGAAAAATCCTTGAATTTTAATAGTTTTTTTTAATACCAGTCACAATCCGTCCCTTACTCGTTTCCATCGAAAAAACCTAAGATGACTATGATTATGGACGTTTATAGTAGTTGGTTTTTATTTATAATTAATATTTCATGTTTCATTATTATATTTATTACAACATCTAATCGAATGCTCGCTATACGTTGTTAATATTTTATTATTATTATTAAACTATTCGATTAGCTGTATTATTTATTCGTAATATAAAAACTATTGTACAAATTCTTATTTAGAGTATTTGTTTTTTTTTTTTTGTTTTCTTGATTTTGTATCCTGATACAAAGCACATCCTCTGAAACGTCAAATTCATCGCTGATTCACGGTAATGGTGAAGTCTAATTTAAATCATAATAAGCCATCCAATAAGCCTTCAATAAGTTTTAAATAAATTAAATTAGTGTGATCCCAAAAACGACTAATTGTCGGAAAATATAATACATTAATAAAAAATGTTCAACTAAAACGAGACATTTCCTTCTACTTATTTAAAACTGACGTGATAAAGGCGTTGAACGTAATCGTTTATTGTTTTAATAGTTGTTTAAGTTTATATATGAGTATTTATCTAAATTTAAAGAGATTGGAGAAAAATAAAACTATTTTGTGAAAATAATTCAAAGAATTGTTCAATTTCAATTCAATTTTTCAAAGAATTCTAAAGTCCAAATAAATGGCTCCAATTTGTTCAGAAATATCATCGTTCAAGTTTTTATCCATATCAATGATACAATTATCATCGATTTATACGAGTTTTGTTCAATTGTTCAATTGTTTTTTTTTTTTTAAATATGTGTACAGTAAGTATTTGATTTATCACAAATGGATTATTGCGTATATGTATTAAAATATGCATTCCTTATTTCACCCAGTGGTAGTTATAAGAGGGGGTCAATAGGTGGATCGTCCCCCCTTGAGATTTGGTTTTTTTAAATTGAGTATATCTATAGACTAACAAAAACTATCATGCAAATTATGCATTTATGCACCTATGCAAATTTTCGAACTTATGATTTGATAGCAACATCTTTTTCCGTTTTAACTACGAATAATACATAAAACAAACTATAGTAATACAGAAAAAGGGTTAAATATGGGATGAACTTTAAGAGTTCTAAAAGTGAATTTTTTTAATTCTTACCTTTATTTTACTTCTCGTACAACATATAGACTTTGAGTTGACAAATATTTTAAAATAATTAAACGCACTAAGAAATATTTAAAATACAGATCCGATTAACAAACCTCGTCAATACTCCGCAGGCGTACAATGAAAACGTGTCGATCCTCTTCGTATGGTGACCAGTAACCGAACGATACTCTTGCTGGCGAGTAGGCCTATTTATGCCTTTTGGAATATTGACAAGATTGCCCTTCTTACCGTCATTTATTGATGATTATTATAATGGTTTTACAATTTCAGAAAATATCCTAATACTAATAATGTAATATTTTTGGTGTTATCTTTTGACATTTGTTTGATTATTTTATGTGATGTTAGCCGACATCAATTAGGAATATGGAGGTGATTTTGATATAAATGAAATGTGTTTTTTAAATAATGATAATGTAACTATCTGATAGTTTATTGATGCCGCTTTAGATAATGATTTATTTTTGATAGAATTTTTATTATATTAAATGTCAAAAGATATTAATATATAGTTAAAATTAATTTAATTTACTAATTACTAATACTAATATACATATGAGTCACTAATGTTATGTTTTACAATATTATAATATCTACCCCAGTTTTTTTTTTTTTTTTGTTATGTCCTCATAACATATTTTATATGTCTGACAAAAGGGTTTTTTTATTTTTTACAAATAATAATAGTTTTAATATGTTTCTAGCTTATATAATAGTTATTTGTTTATAATAAGAATTATAATAAGAATAATATATGGATGAATATAATTGAAAAGGAATGAGCGGATTTTATAAACATGTGATGTGATGGAACTCTAATATAGATATTTTATACTGATAGCTTCCGTATGTTGGGATAAATGCTTTTATATTTATTTGTATGAGTGTTTTGAGGATTTTTGTCCATTTCTATATTGTTTGTGAATACTGATTCATATTTTTTATTATGCGTGTTGTGCATTATATGATGTGTTAGATTTGAATAAATGCCTGCTATTAATTTGATACGCCATCCAAATGTGTCATAAAGTGCGTTGATGTTGATTATAGTTTTGATTGTTAGGGTTGTTATTTTGTAAATGACAAAAATTCTTAATAGACCGGAAGTTAGATTTCCGATACCCGTAAACCATCCCCACATTTTGTTAAGTTCAGATTGAACCATTAATTGTTTTTTCACTTATTAAATTTTTTGTGTCAAAGCCTTGATTAATAATTTCATGACCCATTGTTTGCCTTATTTTTTTTTTTTGTACTGTTCCGATTCTTGAGGGTACATAAGGTGTTTTTTTAATGCATTTAATATATCTGGTGTATATATACCGGCTGTCATGAGATTTTCTGAACTTTCATATGTCTATATAATTGTAGTGGCTTGTTTTAATTTTTGGGGTGGATTTATTTTATGTGGTTTTGGGGTTAGGTTAAAGCAGTCCATTGTTTTGTGTTACTTGCAAATGCAGCTGACAAGTATTCATTGTAACTTATTTGCTTTCCATAAGTTTGGAGAATGCGATTTTTTGCAGTCATGAAGTATGTTTTGTTGTTGATAGATACTAGTAATTCATTGTAGCATATTTCTTGTAATTTGATGTTGACGTTTACGGGTAAGCATTTTTGTAGGTATATTATTTCACCAGTTTTTATGACTGTGTATCCAGATCCTTCTCCTATTAAGTATGCAAATTCATTTAAATTGTAAAAAGCTAAAGATAGTTTTTGAAGTAATAATTGTTTTTCAAGTTCACATTGTTTTCTTGTTATATCTTCATATAATTTGGTTGTTGTTCTTTTTATTGTATATTCGAGATATACAAATTTAGTGTTGAGGTAAGATAGAAGATCAGTGTTAAAGGGTGTTATTTGCTTGGGCGTGAAGGTGTTTAAATAATTGCTGTCAGTTATAATTAATAATTGTATGTTTTCGGTGTGAAAAACAGGAACGCTGCATGCATATGTTTTAGATAATTTTTTTTAATGCAAATGCAATGTGGTTTGTTTCTACTATAAAAGTTTCTGTTTTAGAGTTTTGTGCTTCAGCTTTTATAAGTGATGCTGGTCCATCATAAAAGACGTCATATTCTCGTATACTACAATTTTCTCGTTCATTGTTCCATTCAACTTCTCCTTTGAATTGGTCCAGTCCATATGAATTTGATAGTTTTAGTCTAGATCCAGATGGTAAAATCAAAATATTTTCTTTGTTATTAGCTATAGCCATACCTTCTGATAAGTGTATGGAGTATTTTGCTTGTACCATGACTTTGTTCCAAGTACCCCTTGAGTTTGTAAATGAGCTGCCCTCACAGTTACCTTCTTTATCCAATTTTCCGCCACTGGTATGAGAGATTAACATTGTTTGATTAATTTTTAGATCCGTAATTATGCTTCCTATAGTTGTTGTGTAAACTCTATGTTGGTGAATTTCTTGACATCTATCACTGCCAAGTTCGATTATTTCTAATTTGTAACCTCCGTTTACCATTTGTGCGTCCTCAAATACGGAACACCTGGTTATTAGAGAGTTCACAGAAATGAGACATGTTTGAAAATGAATTGGGTATGTTTCTGCCTTTTGAAGTAGCTTGATACGACGAATGTGCTCTATTTCCACGGGTATAGGTATCTCACAATCGTCCACTTCCATACTGTTGAAAGCTGTCACG